ATCAAAGAGAGGCGAGTTAAGATTGTTTGGGGGGGGGGGGGGGCGGGGTAAGAGAAGACAAAAAGATTTCTAAGCCCGTGCATGAAAAATGAATCTGGAAAAAGGAAAGAACAAAGGTAAAATATGGGTGGGGCAAAAGTAGGTTTACAATTGTTTATATGGAAAACAATACAATCATTAATAAATAATAGTACAAGAACAAACTCTGTATTTCACATACTCACAATGTAAACCTACTTTTGCCCCTCCCTGGATGTAGGAAAAGGAAAAAGAAAATATCATTCATGACAGCAAATAGTGTTATCTATTCTTGCCCTTCTATTTTTCCTTTATTCTCTCCTTGGAGGGAGTCACTTAAGCTCTGAAAATTTAGGATATAAGCTGAAAGTAAAAAGTAAATGGCAAGTATCCTAGGCGAACTGCTTTTTCCCCCTAATCAAAACTTAAAAAAAAAAAGTACAGAGTGATTTGCAAAAACAATTGTGATTAAATTCAACAGATTTTTAAAATAACTTAAAAGAAAGGAATTACAGGGAAATAAAACTACAAAGAGATCATCTTTGTGTAGGGATGCATAAAGGAGAAAAAAAGATTTTCCCCTCCGCTCTTCTGATTTGCTCTAGCCGGGTAATCCTGGGTACTGGCAGACTATGGAGCAATGGACAGATGCTTCCAGAAAAGATTATCTTTTATCTGTCATGCAGGGAATAACTCTGGCCCTATGACTGTTGATTCTGTGATCTAAACCTTGTATAAACCTTGCTATAAGTATCAAGCAGGAAAAAAACCACACCAATAATAATAATAATAGTGATGATAATAACAATAACTAACATTTATGAGCACTGATGAGGTATAAAGCACTATCTATGTATAATCTCACTTAATCCTCACCAGAACCTTATGGTTGCTGTCATTATCCCCATTTTACAGATGAGGAAATTGAGAAAACAAAGAACCAGTTGTACTTAGATGGATTTTCTATACTTGAGGCTCAGCAGCAGCAATCTGCTGCTTTCTTGCTTCAGTACAAATACACACACTTCACCCTGTCCTCCCACAATCTACTACAAAATCTTTGCAAATGCAGATCCTAATCTGGGCCTTTCACTTCCAGGGTAATCCCCCAGCTATGACTTCCACTGGCGGAACACCCTGGGAGTGTTGAATAAGAGCATCTAGCTCCCCCTGAAAATAAAGTTTATGTCCGTATGGATCCTTGCTATAGTCAGTAAATGCCCTTTGCCCTGACAGAGGCCTTTCTCATTGCCAGGAGGAATTCTGAGGGCCCTGCAGGAAAGGAAGAGCTTTTGAAAGGCTGGGAACTGGGAAGTCACCTTTGCACAGTGACCTCTCCATACCCATTTTGGGCTTAATGACTTCCAATTTCTCCTTCACCGACTTGCCTGCCATAAAGCCCCTTGCTGTGCTGTGTAGAAGCAGTCTGGACCAGTCACCCAGACTAACCATCCAACAAACACGCCATTCCTTTGCTTCTCAAGGAATCCCCATCCCATCTAGCTGTGAGTTCCCCTGACTTTGCCAAGAACACGCAGAACCAGGCTAGCTCGGTCATTAAAACTTCTCATCTTGCCCTCACCGGTTTGGCTCAGTGGATAGAGCGTCAGCCTGCGGACTGAAGGGTCCCAGGTTTGATTCCGGTCAAGGGCATGTACCTTGGTTGCAGGCACATCCCCAGTGGGAGATGTGCAGGGGGCAGCTGATGGATGTTTCTCTCTCATCGATGTTTCTGACTCTCTATCCCTCTCCCTTCCTCTCTGTAAAAAATCAATAAAATATATTTAAAAAAAACAAAAACCTCTCATCTGTTTCTGTCCCTCAGCTCGAGGCCCACCTTGCCTTTCAGTTACTCATTTTCTGTTCAACATTTATTCTAGCCATTTGCTAAATATGAACTAAGTTTTAAGTATTTGCTCTCAAAAGTGGGGGGGGGGGGGGCGCAAAATGCTTGATGAAAATGCAACAGAATGCTACTAGGAAAGAAACAAAAGGAACAGCTAGAAATCAAGATTTGAAGATGCAACCTAAGCTTTAAACTTTAATATTGTAAAATACAGGCCTTAGGGATTAACTAGATCAGCGGTTCTCAACCTGTGGGTCGCGACCCCTTTAGGGATCGAACAACCCTCTCACAGGGGTCGCCTAAGACCATCGGAAAACACATATATTACATATTGTTTTTGTGATTAATCACTATGCTTTAATTATGTTCAATTTGTAACAATGAAATTGGGGATCACCACAACATAAGGAACTGTATTAAAGGGTCGCGGCATTAGGAAGGTTGAGAACCACTGAACTAGATGAAAAAATGTTAAATTGGGGTTCGTGGAGCCTAAGGAAGTCATTAACTTCCTGAAATTGTATGTAAAATATCTGTGGGTTTTTTTTTCTTGTTTTGCTGTTCTGGGAAGAAGGTCCATAGTTTCATTAGGTTATCAAAGGGAAAAAAATTTACTTATATCTCCAATGCCTAAAATAAGGCCTGATATACAGTAGGGACTCAGTAAATATTTTTTTTTTAAAAAAAATTCAATGTTTGTTGAATAAATGGATGGTTGAAGGGTCTGAGCTCTAACGCATCTAATTTTATAAACGGAGAAATTGAGTCCTAGAAAGGATATAACTGCTTCTTCAAGGTCATGAGCCTAAGTAGTCAGGACCGGTAGGATTAGCTGTTTTAACTCTTTCCACTGCCAGTTGGTGTTTTTTTTGCCTTTTAATTTAATCATATCTTTCACTCCATTTCATTTTCTTTTTCCCAATCCATTTCTTTTTAAGCAGAAAAAACGCATCTTATTTCCTAGTTGGAAGTTGCCAGCTAGTGTATATCCCAAAGGGGAGGTGGGGGAGCGAACAGCAGGAGGGTCTATGGAAAAGGCCACCAGAATAATTTGTTTGTGATAGCACACACAGCACGGCTACCATTCCTATGTGCTGAGGACATGATTAATATGGTATCAAAATGGCTGTGGTTGATGGAAATATGTAAAGCTAAAATAAGTGAAGTTAGATCTAGGGGGTGGCAGTCAATCATAAGCTTAAAATTGGCCAGCCCAAGCAGCTTTCCTATGAGCAGGCCTGCTTGGTTGAAAGCTCCTTTTGAGGGCCTTCCTTGCTTGTAAAGTAATTAGGAAATCCTGGAGAATTCAAAGCAGGCCTTCCCTCCCCTCCAAACAGTTCACAATCAAACCCAGCAGACAAGAAAGGTGAGACTCAAACTGCTACCCAGAGGAGAGGGCTAGGGAGAGGGCCTAGTCCTCACAGAGCTGCTCCTAGGAGAGACTTTGAAAGAGAGCAAGGGACGTACTCTGTGACACAGCAAATTTCTTGTGCTAACAACTCCCTCGGCAAACTGAGGCCAACAGGAAGACTCTGAGGTCTAGGACATGTCAGAGGCAAGGTAGGAAAGCTCTTCTTAACCTAGTGATACCCCCAGAATGTTAATTACTTGCAGAAGATCCTTTCAGTAAACTCTTCTTTGAAGCACCACCCTCCCAACCCCCCCATCGTAAATGCAAGTCATTTTGGAAGGGACTCTGTTCCCATGCTCTGGGTAGTGTTTATGGATTACCTGTATTATTTGGTAGTGGTAGAAAATGTTTAGTGAGGAAGAAAGAGCCCAGAGGAGATAATAAACAACCTGCGTCTGAGCGAGCCCCAGCTGTGTGACCTTGATGGAATCACTTAACCTCTCTGAACCTCTGTTGTTTGATTTGTAAAACAAAGGTTTCAATTTACATAGCCTCAAAAGCACTTTCCAGCTTTGGCTACCACATATTATATCTAAGTATGAGGTTTAACCCATTGACAGGTTTTTCAAACATGATCAGAAAAGGTTACTCTTCAGCTAGAACAAAACAAAACAAGTCCTCCCCCCATATTATTTTCTTAGATTTCTCTTGCAATCGAGATAGCAATTAAAGGGGAGAGGGAGGGATGCTAATTTATTGGAATGAACAGCAACCCTATTGCTCTAAGACGATGAAAACTTCAGAATCTTATGTTCAAAGGGGAGATTTTTAAAAAGATAGGCTCAGCCAATGATTTGAAGACCTTACCTCCACTTTCTATGGTGGGATTATGGAGGATTCGAGCCAATTTATTTATTATTTGGGTTCCACTCTCAAAATGTAGACATTTTACAAAAATCTACGTAGCAGTCATTTCATTCATAGAGCAAATAGGCTTGTTTTGTGATGATCTGGAGGCCTTCCCTGCCATGTGCCTCAAGTTTCCCTCAAAGATTGCTAACAGCTTCCTACATTTTGCTCATATAACATCCAAGGATTAGCCGGGTAGCTTAGTTTCTCCCTTCCTCATAAATCTAACAACCCTGGGGTTTCAAAATTCCCTGCCAAGCTTCGGACTACATTCCCCAACAAGAATCTAATATGACACTGAAGCTCAGAAAGGCAGCTAAACAAAAGCTCTGTAGCAAAGGACTTTACAGGTTAATAGAAAAAGTAAATGTATTTCGAGTTTAATGTGTTCCCCTTCAAAAAAAATCCATAACCTAAAACTTCTATCTATCCTATGCTGAACTTCAGTTAAGGAGACATAACTCAATGATTCAGTTTCCTTGGAGAAACTAAACTCAGCAAATGACCCAACTCTGCACCTCTCCTGGGCCCCTGAGAGGCCTGAAATAGCCCAAGAAGTGGGGAGTGGAGAGGAAACTGTGAGCCCCACTGAGTGAGGCCTGCCCCCCTTCGTAATGGGGACTTGGGAGCCTCCAAACACAAAGGCCCAACTCCCGATGGGGATAAGACAGGAAGGGGGCCCGACTCCGGGGTACTGTGTCTTTCCTTATGTCACCTATGATGGGTGTCTTCCTTGCCAAAGACTACGCCATTGAGGATGGTCCTCAATGTTGGATCCCTGGCTTCCCTGCGCCTCATCCCCAAGTGGGGAGTGTGTGTGGAGGCCCTTGGGCCTGCCTAGGCCAAGGGGCGGTGGGCCGAGGTATCTGCACTCACCTGGGACTCCAGAGCTCCCTTGACTGGACCCTTCAGCTCCTGCGACCTCTGAGACCCCCTCCTCCGGTGGCCACCCCTCATGCAGACCTCCAGGTGTCAGGACAGGTTTGAGCACCTGAAAGGACAAATAGATGGGTAAGGTTACTCTGCTGGCTCAGAGAAGGGAGAGATTGGGGGCAGGGTCATTTTGTAGGAAATTAAGGGGAGGGGAGGCTGTAGTGGAGGGGAAAGGCAAAAAGGCACACCTGGGCCACGGGCTACAAGGCAGGGATGCTGATGCAGGAGAGCTTTTCAGAGGTGCCCACAAGGCCTCCCAGTTTGAGAAGCATCTGGGACAGAGAAGAGGGTCCTGGTCTGAGATCGAAGCAAGTGGGCCCAGGACCTTTGACTCCATCCCTTCCTTGGTCTCCAGCCTAAGGCACGGAAGGCAGAGGGACTCAGCAGCCACAGGGCTTGGAATGAGGATAGAAGGGGAGAAAAGGCACAAGGGGTCTAACGCTGGCCCTAGCTGGGTAGGCGAGGAGACCCAGAGGGAGAAGCCAAAAGTGGGCCTGAGGGGGCAGCATGCAGTAGCCCCCAGCCCGACGCAGCCACTAGAGGGCAGATGGCGGGGAGGGGTCTCTGTGGTGCCCTCACCCCTTCCTTACTCCAGAGGCAGTCTGGTTTTCTCACACAGGCAAAACCTAAGCTAGTTGACTGGGCTGTGAGGACCAAGTTGCCCCAGCAGCTTCCTGGACACTTTCCACTGGGTGGGTGGGGGGGGGGGGGGTCGGGGGGAGAAGCAGACTGAGGTGGGGAAGGGTCTCCCTTCTCTATAGGGCTCTAGGGGTTGGCATCAGGTGCAAATGCTTGGAAGTTTCCATCAGGCCCTTGATGAACTAAGTGACAGCGTGGCTTTTTTCAAAAGGGGTGCATTAGCACTTTGAGGGTTCAAAGAGATGCCCCCCCTCTTTGCCGACCTTCCCCAGCAAAGGCAAAATGGGGAGAAAGGGTTTGATCAGCTCCCACTGGCCCCAGGCTGACGCAACCGCCCTGACGAGGGAGGGAAAGACGCACAAAAAGCCACAGGTTTTCACTCATCGTGAAGGGGAAGGGGAGAGGGTCTTTGCCTGGGGTCCCACCCGGAGTGAGACACCCCTCCCGGGAAGCCCTCCCCCGACCCCCGACCCCGGGCGGGATTGCAGGCGGGCGCCCCAGCCCCGGCGAGCGGCCGCCCCAGCTGCTGGGCTGCAGTAGCAGCAGCTCCTTGGAGGCAGCAACAGTTGTCTGGCCGAGGCGAGGGCTCGCTCGGGCGTGCACGACGCCGGCGGCGGCCGGGTGCTCCTGGGCTCCGCGGCCCGGGCCCCAGACCTAGCCTCCGTGGGAACAGTGAGGGGACCCCCGGCACCGGAGCCCCCATAGCCTGCGCTGTGGTGGCTCAACCCCTTCGGTGCAAGTTCACTTCTCTTAGGTCACCTCTCTCCCAAATCTGGTGGAGATCGAGGCTTTGGGGGAGAGGAGAGGAGGGCTTCCTGGCCAGGGCGAGGTGGGGGGTGGGGGGAGGAGTAAGAAGCAAAAGACAAAAGCAGAGCCGAGGGGACCCAGGGTGAAGCTATTTTTAACCCAACGTGGCTCTCCCGCCTGTCCCTCGGCGAGGCTGTCGCTCCACAGACGGCCCCACGCGAGAGGCAGGGAGGAAACCCACCCGGGGCTTTTGCTTTTGCTCCATCTCCTTTGAGCATCGGAGAGACCCTTTTACTCTCTCCGCACACGCCATCGGGGGGGAAAAATCTCCTTTATCTGCGGAGAGGGACTCGGATTTAACCCGAGAGCTTGGCGTCCTCGTCTTAGGTGCTTTCTCGAAGGCTGAGCTGGAAAGACTGACTCTGCCCAGCAGTCCCCTCTCCCTGCTCCTTCCTCCACTCGGGGAGGGGAGGGTCTGGGTGCCCAGCGACCCGGGAGCGGATGGTTGGTGGTGGTGGTGGTTGGGGTGCGGGGGAATTCAGGCCCTCCCCGAAAACGAGTAGCCTTGCAGCCCTCGGGTCTTGGCCTCTCCTATCCCTGGACACATCCTCTACCCTTGACCATCCCTCTGGACGCCTGCGTGTGTCCGTGTGTCCTTCTGGTCCAGTCCCTAAGGACGTCTGGCAGTCCCTCAGGCGAAGGGCATGGGGCGCAGATCATGGCGAAGGCCTGATTGCACCACTTGTAACCAAAGTGGTCACGACTGCAAGGAGTGGAGGGGGAGGAGGGGGACCACAGACGGTCCCCAATCCTGCAGTTCTGCCTCCCTGACCAGGACGGGCTGCCTCGGGAGGCCTGGACGGGGCTGCTGCTGCTGCTCTAGGCTGCAGAGTCGGGTGCCACCTCGTCTCTAAAAGCTCCTTCTCTGTGGCGGGCGGGGGGGGGGGGCAGTTTTTTTTACTGTTTTACCCCCTTGGGTGCTACTCAGTTTTGAAAAAGACAAGATGGGATGGGGGGAACCCGATGCTGCAAAACGCCCTAAATTAGGTTGGAAGCAGGTGCCCGGGGAAGGAGGAACTCCGGGGATCGGGCGATGCCTGTCTGGGTTTCCCCTCTTTTCGGAGCCACCAATTCACCGCGGCTCGCCTCACCTTGGGGTCCCCGGCTAGGACGGAGGATGCCCAGGCCTCCTGCCCCTCCCTCAGGGATTTCCCCACCCCCACAGTGCGGTTGGAGCTCTAGGGTCCGACGTGACTAGAAAATGTCCTAAACTGATGCCTATCCCAGGTACTGCCTGGGCTCTAAGACCAGTGAATGGGGTTATTCGGGGTGTGGGCGGGGGTAGCGGGGAAGACACAACTTCTGTAAACTTTTATTGTATTTTAGCTGCTTCCCACTTCTCCGAACACACAACGCACACCGCCTGCTCCAATTTCCCCCTGTGATACAAAGTCCACTAAGAAGTTGGGGGCGGGGGGCCCCCAATGAAGGACAGGCTGGTGACCAAAGCCTCGGCGAGCGCTGGGAGGACGGGAGGGAAAGGATGAACCCTTCCCTGGAACGCGGGGACGGGGCTGGGGAAGGCTCCGGCCGCGCCGCTTCGGGAAGGTGTGTGGGCTTCGGCGATCGCTCGCAGGCTTCTCGACGAGTGCGCCCTCCGCGAATGCTTTTTGGGGTAAGGGCTTCCGGCTATTGAGTTATGTACAGCAAGCCCAGACCGCAAAAAGATTCGCGAAGGGCAGAGTCTGCCGGCTTCTTCGGGCCGCCGCCGCCGCCGCCGCCTTCCTTCCGCCCAGGATGCCTCCGAACCCCGGAGCCGAGCAGGCTGGGTCTCCCCGGCGCGCTCCAGCGCGGCTCAGCCTTCCCACCCGCGCCGCCCGCCTTCTCCCGCCCCGCTCCGCGCCCCCCGACCCATCCCTGCTTTTCTCCACACCGTCCGCGATCCCCCAACTCAGCCGGCACAGCCTCGAGCGAGGTGTGCGGAGAGCGAGAAGAGGAGCGCCGAGGGGGACCAGGAACCCCGCCGCCCAGCCTCCACCCCTCTCCCGTAGCTCTAACACTCGAGCCTCCCCGCCTATCCTATCGGCCCCGTTCCCCTCTCCAGGGCTGCGCCAGCCCCGCTGCAAGGTCGCGGATCTCTAAACAGGTAGAGTTCGGATTCCCCCTAAAACCCCTCTTATCCCTCCTAGTCCCCCAGCCGAGGTTCCAGCCGTGACTACAGGCGCTGCGTAAAGAGAAAAACTCCCCCAGAGCACTAAATAAATACAGACGAGGCTGCCAGCTCATTGGTACGGACTAAAATCGTCACCCACCAATCAGGAGAGAGCTCACATTTTCTTCTTCCTTTTTTTTTTTTTTTCCATAAGGGGGAGGGAGAAAAAAAATATTTCCATTTCTAATTATTCAACAAAACCCAGATTGGAACACGTTAAAATATTGTTGTTGCAAAAAAGCTGGCCATGACCCCTATTCTAGCCCAGGTGAGGTGAGGGGCGCGAGATATTGGGCAAACGGGGTTCCAGAGAGCGACCTCTCCCACAGGGACCCAAACCAGAAGATTCTGACAGAATCACAGGCAAAGATGAATATAAAATAAACCCGAAGTCCACCCTAGTCAGCCTACTTCTATAATATGGTAATCTCTCTCCCCCCCACCCCCCCACCCTCCAGTTCTCAATGCTCAGTAGGAACATTCTCACCCTCCCCCAAACCCGTCTAGATATTGGGTGTCTAATAGCCCACTCGCCTCAGGTGCCCTTTCATTGCTGCAGCCCCTCCCCCCACTCCGTACCCATTCTGCAGATTAGTGGGGGAACAACAAGTCTGGAGCCCCTCACAGACCGCCGCCTCCTACAGATGCGAGAATCCAGCATCTGCGGGGGGGGGGGGGGGGAGAGGGCGGGGGGACGGGGGGCGGGGGGGAGGGGAGGAAGGGAGACTGGAGTGGAAGAAGGACAGAGGAGATCTCTTTCCTACGTTCACCCTCCTTCCCTCTTCCTTCTCTCCCTCTAGGTCCCCTCCGGCATCCCAAAAATCCAGACTTGGAGAGGGTGCCTTCCTACTTCCCAGGCCAGCGCCACCCTTCCAAAGCCTCTCTTGCCCCGCCCCGCCCCCCCCAACGGTGTCCAAGAATGGTGTGACCATCTCCCTCCCCAGCGGTAGTCACCCGGTAGGGAAAAACACAGCCAAGGTAGGATGCTGCAAAATTGCAATAACTTAGGGCGAAAGTTGCCATATTTGTTCTTTGCCACCTTGGAATCGACGTGCGCTGGCACGCGCACACGCGCACACACACACACACACACACACACACTTGCTCAGCACGCCGGGAGAAAACGTAGCTAGACGAAGTAGTCACTGTCTCCTGTCGGCCCACCCCCTCTGCTCATCCATCACCCTCCTGCGGCTCTGCGACCCACCCACCCTCCCGCCGCCTACCCTCCGCGGCGACCCGCAGACGCACGCACACACCCTCCCAGCGTCCGCGCGCCTGGCGCTCCAAAAGGGGGCTCCACAGGCTGCTTCGCGGCGCCGGGCAACTGGGGGAAAAAAGTTCTGCTTAGCCGACCACTGAGCTACCCACCACCGGCCGACCTTAGACCAATCCCCTCTCCTTACCTGGGTCCGGAGGCCCCGGGAGCGCGCTGGTCCGGTCCGCACTGCAGCCAGCTGGAAGGAGCCGCTCGCCAACAGGCCCGCTCCTCTCGCGCCCCTCCCCGCCCCCCACAAGTGTTTGCCCAGCGGCAAAGCAGGCTTTTCCAGGTAAGTATATAAGTTACTGTTCTGTGTGGGAGGGTCACGATCTTGGCAATTGAGGCTTTCCAGGGTTAACCCCTGCGTTCCTGCCTTCCCCCAACTTGTTGAGGACTCGTCGAGTCCCAGGCTGAGCGAGCGAGCGCGCCAGCCAGCGCGCCGGCCGGGAGGGGAGAGAAGTGCACGGGACAGCGAGGCTGCCAGTGGGGGAGTTCAGATGTACCCCCTGGCAGCGGTTTTCATTGGATAGGTCCTTCCCCCACGCCTGTCCCCCCTGTTTCGGTGCTCCCCCCCCCCCCCCCCGTCTCCCTTGTAGGGGACGTCTCCAGGCAAAGTCACGATTCCTTCTCAGTTCGGAATGAACTGTGACTAGAGCCATGACGAAGCCAGCGCGCATTACTCACTTTTTGCAGTCACGACTTGGGAACCCGTGCTGGTTCCAACCAAAATTACACCGCTACCATTGAATTATTTAATAGGTTCCAGTTTGGGGTAAACTTGTGCATTGTGTAAAGCGATGGAGGAGGAGGAGGAGGGGAAAATTAGAACCTGGGGCGTCCTCCCCACTCCCTTCATGACACTTGGACGTCCCCAGCCGTTCCACGTGTTGCAACCGTCCCACCCCTCCCTGCCCGACCGCCCCCCTCCCAACCCCAGTTATTTTCTGTGCAAATGTGGAAGAATTTGTAAACACAACCACGCAACTTTAGGGCGAGGCTTGGGAAAGGGAACTAGTAGGATGAATGAAGAGGATGGTGAGGGATGGGCGAGAGGTTTTGAGCAGCTTTGGTTTAAGCTGAATTGTCAAGGCAAAGTGTGTGATGCAACGTTGTGTTATTCTCCACAAATAAGTAACAGCCCTTGTTACTATTATGAGTTGGCGAATACTCAGTCTCTGCCAGGGACTCTTCCCAGAGAGGGACTGCTTCTGAGCTAAAAATAACTGGACGCCCACCCCCCAGGGCTACTCCTCGCAGGTCACTAAAGCCAGAGGCTGTTGCTGGATTGGGATGGGGCATAGGGGGCAGAGAGTACCTGAAGACTAGCCCCCCTCAGATACTTACCTCACCGCCCCGAGTTTATTATTATTTTTTAATTACATAGACGATATCCCTGTGTGTATACAGCTTACTGCAGGTCCTCAAGATTGCCTCATTTTCCCCACCATCTCCATCCATCCTGGTGGCCAGGTTGAGGATTCCTTTTTATTGCTCCTCTACCAGGAGTCAATCAGTATAAATGTCTTTGTGCGGGGGGGGGGGGGGGGGTGATAGTCATCCCCACCCCTGGCCTCTGATAACCTTCCTCCCTCCTCACCTGCCTGGTTACAGGTTTGGCCAAGGTGTTGTCTGGAGTTGATTGCAATGAATCTCACTCTAGGTCGAGCCCATAATCCCAGGGAGTTGATGGTCTCCCCAATAACATTTGCTAACTAGGAGAGCCCCTCTCCCCAGTTCCCCTCAGAGCCAGTTTTCAGATATCCTTTGGCTTTGGGTTTTAAAGCGCCTGGCGATGTTCCCAAGCCTGAATTCTCTGTGCATCGTACCAGCAACTCCTGTGCCTTGGCTTCTAAATGCATTCGCCCCACCAACTCCTTCAGGGCTCCTATGACTAGGACGCGAAGCGGGAATAATAAGAAAAATGCCATAATGCACAGATACACCCTTACACACCTCACAGGAATTGCAAAATGTGGGAGTGTGGGGGGCATGAAGTGGGAGAGGATGAGAGTCCGAATAAAGCAACCTATAGCCTCTTATTTTGAGAGTCACCACCACCGGAGAGAAATCTTTCAAAGCCACTGGCGGGAAGGTGCGGGCGCCTGGGAATGGAGACCCAGATAGTGTCTGGCCTCTGCGGAAAAAGCCGGTGAGGCACCCGGCCGTTCGGTTCCTGGAGCGCTGGGCCTCGGCTCATCCTGGAATCTAACACTTGGCTCCCCCCCTCCCTTTAATTTTTTTTCCTTTCCTTCCCACTCACCCCTCCTTTTCCCCAAGCTCTCACCGAAGTCACGACTATCCCCTTTGAACATCCTTAACTCCCTCCTCTCCGTACCCTCCTTCTGCATCCAGGGCGGGGCTATCCGCAGCTGGCGCCAACCCCGCCCCCTGGCGCCCGGATCTGAACTCGCAGAGGACCGAGGAATTATCAGCACCTGCCTTCCGTGGACAGCTACCTCGCCCTGGGCCAGCCGGGACCAGGGTCGCGGTCCTCCGGCTCCTGGACCGGAGCGCGCAGGGAAGTTTGTCCAAGGGAATAGGGATCCTACCCCCTTTATCTCTCAACCCCATCCATGCAATTTTAATCTGTAACTACCATTAATCTCCCAGAGAAATAGCCCACTAAGTCGTATCTGGGCATCCTTTAAGACAGAGAAAATGGGGAGGGGAAGGGGCAGTCGGGAGAATCGAGCTCAACAGCGCCGACCCATAAAGAGAGAGGGACTTGCAGCAGCTATTGATTCAGAGATTCGTCAGGGTGATTCCCGGCTCTGCGAGAATTTCCCCTTTCAGGTCCTTTGCATGCAGCCCAAAATTCATTATGCACACACTCACAACTACACCCTTCACACCACCACCCCACTCGGTCCCACCCTCCTCCTTAGAAAGGGGTAAAAGGCAGCCAAAAAGAACCTGGGGGCATGCACAAAGTAAGCCTCCGCTTGCACTCACAGTCTGCGGCATGCACATGACATAATATTACTTACCCAAACGGGAACTCCTTAAGAGAGAAAAAGGAACACAGGGGGAAGGAAGAGAAAGTGGACAGAGAGAAGGAGACAGAAGAGAGGAGAGGAAAAATCCAACAATTAATTTCCAGACATAGTTGGGGGGAGGGATTGCGGTGATGTCCAGGTTTTCTTCCACCCGCGCTGGCTTTTTATCCCAGTGCAGCCCTCGGTCTATTTCTGGAACACGATCAAACCCTGATGCTATTTTTAGCAAGTACTGAAAAAACCTCCACACACAAAGGCATTTCGCTGGAACGTTTTGTCCAAAACATTAAATGTGCATTAAGCGCCCCCTCCCCACCTTTTTCTGCACCGCCAGCCTCACTTGCATTGCTGCAGATGATGTTTTTCCAGGCAGAAAAATACCCCAATATTTCTTATATTCTCCCTCACTCCCATTAACTCCCGTTTGCCTCTGCCTGTTGCAAGCTCCTGGCAGCTTCCCGGAGCAGAAGGCTTTGGAGGGTCGTGTTCTTTTAGAGCCTCATATCTCCATTGACCAGATTCCCTGCGGTCTGGGGCAGAGGAGGCTGCCTAGGCCCCTTCCCCAGAGGAGCTTCCCAAGCAAGCTCTAATGCTCTCCGCGATGGAGATTCCCAAACGAGCGGGGGGAATCTTCCGTCCCTTTCCCACGTCCCCCACCCATGCTTTGCAAAATCGCGCAGTGTTTGCAACACACTGCCTTTGGAAATGTATAATTTGAAAGCTGCGTGTGTGTGTGTGTGTGTGTGTGTGTGTGTGTGTGTGTGTGTGTGTGTGTGTGTTGTGCGTTCTAGTAATTCACTACGAGGGGGCTGGAGGAAAGAGACTCGGGAAGGCAGCGCAGAGCAGCCGCCTCGAGTCTCCTTTGCCAGCCTGCGTCAGTCAGCAGCTACTGACGTCACGTGCAGATTCTCCTCTTTGGTGGGTCTGGTTCAGCGGGGAAAAGGCTTCTGCACGGAGACAGCGCTTTGTGTTCGGCGCAGCCACTAAGCGGGCGAGGCTGCCGAGGCGGGCGCCACCCCAGGCTAGGGCAGGGCAGCTGCAGAGGAGGCTGCAGCCTAGTCTCCACCCGGAGTGCGGCCCGAGGGCGGGCGTGCCCAGCAAGAGAGCCCCCTTCCCAAATGCCCTCAGCTCCCCCCGCGGCCCCCCCCCCACCCCCCAGGCAAACTGGGCTAGGTGTGCACAGACTCGCGCAAGCATCCGTTCCCCCGCCCTTTCGCAACTGGCCGCTGTAGCAGAGACAGCTATGGCTATAACTCGGATTAATTCTGGGTGTTTGTCGGGCAGAGAGCCTCGGCTCCTCCAGTGACGCAAATAACAGATTCTACGGCTCCCGCTTTCCCCCCTGCTCCCTTTTTCTCCCTCCCTCCTTCTTTTCCCTCTTCTGTTTCCTGCGCCCACGCATCATGCTTGGTCTCCCACGGAATCAGCCAGCTACAGCTTCCCAGAGAGCAATAAAATTCCAAGTTACAGACAGATTCCCAGAGCAGGAACAAATAAACCTGCCTTTAAACACAGCCCTTTGCAAATGGCCAACAGCGTTTAGGGGCTGCTTTGGGGGGGGGGGTGAAGGGGGACAGAAAAAGGGTGTTGCTGCTGCAGCTTTTCCTTCTCCTCACCACCCCAAAAGGAAGCCCACCTCTATAAATACCCAGATGGCAGGGTATTAGCAAATAAACAACTTCTGTTGAATGGTAGAGGAGAAGAAAATTCAACCAAAACTGAAAATGCTTAGTCTCTAGCAACATAATCAGGACTTTTAAAGACTAGGTGATGGTTGGTTTACCCTTTCTCCTTCTCAGAGATCAGGGGATCCTTTTTCTTCTTCTTCTTCTTCAAAAATGTCCCTGAAAAATGAGCTCAGTGGATTAGTGCTATTTTTAAACCTATTTGAATGGAGCTTGTTTCTTGAGAGTGACAAAAAGTGTGTGTGTGTGCGTGTGTGTGCGTGTGTGTGTGTGTGTGTGTACGTGTTTCAGTGTGTTGTATCTGAATCTGAGGTTTTCAGCAGAAAACATGCCACTCCTCAGCATGACAAAGGGTTTATTGATTAGTGGTGATGGTGGTGGGAAGAATCCTTGCATGTTGGAAGATCTGAACAACATCTCATACAGAGATCCTCCTCCCCAAATCTACATAGCATCCTAGATTCACCTTGCATAACTTCTGTACATGGGGAATGAGGAGAGCAGAGAACTATTTAGTCATGGCTTGATGCATGGGTCATCTCCTTTATTAACCCTAATTATCAAT